CGTAGGTCTCCTGTCGGCTCGTAGGTCTCCTGTCGGCTCGTAGGTCTCCTGTTGGCTCGTAGGTCTTCTGTAGGCTCGTAGGTCTCCTGTTGGCTAGTTGGTCTTCTGTAGGCTCGTAGGTCTCCTGTCGGCTCGTAGGTCTCCTGTCGACTCGTACATCTTCTGTCGGCTCGTAGGTCTCCTGTCGACTCGTCTCTGTCGGCTCATCTTCTTTCATCTTGTAGGTGTTGTGTTTCTCCTCTGAGGAGCTAAAGATCAAAAGAAGACCCTCAGGTGAAGCAGGGAGGCTAACAGAGATGTTGTCAGAACTTCTGTGTTCTCCTGTTCTGGAGGACTCTGCAGAACCTTTAGGTGATGAGGATTCTTAGATCAGAATCAGAAGGATTCAGGATTTAAGTCTTTGTAATAAAACTGCTCCTTCTTCATCTTCTTCTTCTTCTTGGTTTTCTGAGGACTGAGCTCCTGGTTCTGGCTCGGTTCAGGGATGTAGAAACATCATTAACATTTAGTTATGAGTCTGATCTCTGCAGGAAGTCAGGATTTTCTCTCAAATCTCTGCCAGGCTTCCTCAAAGTGTAAAAGTGTGAATGAGTTTGGCGTTGGGTGTCGGTTTGCGTCTCGGTGGGTTTCTGGCGACGCGGCGGTCCTCCGGTGTCTCCAGCTCGGCTCGTCGACRTGGTGGGAGCAGAGACAGACGATGCTCGGGGGGCCTCAGGCCGGCCCCTGTTTTTCACACTCGACTGGTTTGGAACAAAGGCAGAGACGTCCAAACACCGCTGACCCCAAACCCCCTAAACACGAGCCTGCGCCCCACCGGCTTCCTCTTTTTTAAGTAAAAACARAAAATAAAGCAGCAGATTGTCGTCAGGCTTTTATTAAAGCAGTTAAACCTGGTAAACCTGGTATTAAACCTGTTTTATTTCTACCTTAAAGGACGTCAACAAGGACAGAGAAGCACTGAACAAACACGGAAAAACCAACAGATCAAAAAGTTCATGGACATTAAATTTAATTATTGACAATATGTTAATTTAAAACTCACAAAGTTCTACAGACGTGTTTGAAAGTTCCAGCTGCTAAAAGTAAAAAAAAAAAAAAGATTTGAGTGTTTAACCTGGTTAGACTGCTGTTTAAAAAGAAGTAAACATAAAGTTGAAATAATGGAATACTTATTTTATTTTTAATTTACAAAAATTCATCTTTATCTTCTGTTTAATTCTCTTTTTCTCAAATATTTGCAAACTTTGTTCAAAATCACGTCATCACTGAGCTGCTGAAATGTCTTTAAGCTTTTTAATTTAAAGAGAGAGTTCAGATATTTTAAAGTGGAGTTTTGAACAGTTAGTATCTTACCTGTTGTAGATAGATGATAGAGAGACCATGTAGTCAGAATGGAGCCAAGACCAAAGTTGATTACCATCATAAACTTTAGTTTTCATCATTAATATTATTTTATTTTTTTTTCTGTCCGAATTGTAAACATACTGGAAGTGCTACAGCTAGCTGCAGCTGCTACTTGCACATTAAGTTTAGGGTAAATAACTGCGTGAAGTGAAACTTAGAGTTTATTAAAAAGTGTCTGTATCAACTGAAGGGAAATTTTAGAGCTTAGATTCCTTTTAGGATCATAAAGAGATGACGTAGCTCCRCCCCCTTTCCCAAGTCGATGAATTTTCAGTTTATGTGGTTCCTTTGAATCTGAAAAGGATGTAGGAACTTTGGGCATCCTTGGCTGCCATGTTGCACTTGCACACTCAGACTGTAGGTTTTTAAGCTCCGCCTTCTCTGGTGCACAAAATAATGACAAATTTAAGGCATCGTAAAAGGATTTACAGCTAAAAAATATACAATTATTTAATCAGACAAAAGCAGAAAAACCATGTAAATAAAATAAAATATTACCTGAGGTGTAGTTTTTGTTTTTATTCAGGAAAATGTCCTTTTATTGACATGCACTGCAGCCAGCCATTAAAGGGTGCTTGTTTTGTTTCAGCTTCACCTTCCAGATTATGTTCCGATGTCTATTTA